GCTCACACTCCATCAATGCACCTGACTGCCAGGAAACCAAGGATCCCCAGCCAGTCGTTGGAAATGAAATTTGTCCAAAACTTGATGGTTCTCTGGTTTTCTTGGAAAAGTGTGCGAATTTGCTGCATTTCGCTCAGCAGCATGTTTTATGTATGCAATTTGAGGGATTTTGTGGTGACTGGTGTTTTGTGCTCTGTGCTGCTGTTTCCGCAGGGTACCATCGCAGCAAATCTGCAAAGTACAGGTGGCCCCAACCCCTAGGCCGAGCTTTCTGCAAAGCGGAGTCTACAGCGGCTAAAGTCTGTTGAAACAACGCACCATGTTTGGACCTCTCTCATGTTGTGTGAGATATCTATATCATGCTCTACCTAACATGCAACTGCAGTCTCTCTGGACAAAAGGATTGAGTTGAGATGGACCAAGAAGCGCGGAGATCAAGCTGGACCCTGTGCAGACAGTCAGAAGGAGACAAGGGACCGAGAAAAGATCGGACAACCTGCCACTTGCAACTCTGCATCTGCTTTGGACATACAGTCTGAGTTGAGAAGAACCTAGAAGCACAGAGGTCAAGCTGGATCCTGCGCAGACAATTAGAGCGAAACAAGGGACTGAGAAAAGAGATCATGCCAGTCTGTCCTGTTTTGGCTATCGACTCACAGGCTCGCAAAGCATCAAGCTGCTCGCTTTCAGCAAGCAATGTATAGTCTTGACACTGTTGATGTTCCATGGTTTGGGTCATGCAAAAGCACAATTTAATACACTCAAGTGCCTATGTCCACAGGCCACCTGCAAGGCATGAGGTAGCTGCACCGCACCCTGTTGCACCCTGTATGTTGGTTTTGTTTAGGGCTCGGGCTTGGGGTGGGAATTGTTTTACTTGTTTCTTCTGGTTTGAATCTTGGGAATCACAGGGCGGAGGCATCCTCCAAGACTTTGAGGCCCCTAGCAGACCACTATGGCACACGCTGCAAGTCCTGCACGGCTGTCTGCACCTAGACCAAGACCCTAACATGTTGAATGATTTCGGAAAACAACCTTATGCAGGGCTGCAGGATAGGTGGTACCCACTGTGGAGCACCTAGTTTGGCGACAAAACCTGGGCAACCACTACTTGCTGTGAAACAAGCACATGACTAATGATGTGGCACCATCCGTCAGTTGCATCTTCACATATGCACAGAGTCAAAGGAGCTCCTCTTGTTGAACTAACCACGAATCACCGAAGGTGACTACAAGACACTTGCAAGCACAACTGTCTAAAGACGTTGTTCCGAAGCCTGAACATCTGACATCTTCACTGAATCTTCGCTCTGTTCCGAAATTGAGCCAAAACACATCGTTGAAAGAAGCTTCCTGGCGGACATGTCGCGCTAAAGACGTCACACCCGCTCATCCGAAACCTACATTGTGTCTCCTGCAGGAATTGCAATCTGCGGATCAAAGCTACCGTGAACTCACCACTCGCTTCAGACAAAGGCAGGCCTATAGGGAGTTGAGATGGACCAAGAAGCGCGGAGTCAAGCTGGACCCTGTGCAGACAGACAAATAGAGGGAGACAAGGGACCGAGAAGAGAGAACGAACACGTAACTCCTGTGACTGCGCTTTACACTCATCACACTACCATCTAGAGAGAGGGGCCACAAGGCCAAAGCATGTTCAGACCCTCTGCTGCGCTGTGCTGGAGAGCAGAAGTATAAATAGACCAGCGACTGCCAGTAACCGAAAAGAGGTCCAATGCATCACTTGTGAAAGCAGTTAAACGCACTTTTGTTTTGTCAGCCACCGCGGTACTGCAAGGTGAACTGCTTCAATCCGGACGCCACCCAACGCATGCCTCGAGGCGCAGGCAAATTCGGATGGACGAACCCCCACTGAAGGGCCTCAGAGAGGCCTGGCGGCACTCCGTACTCGGTATTGTTGGTTCTCTTATTTCTACGCCTTTGGGCCTTGCTGGTCCTGGGAATCTGACCTGCAGCAATGAGGGCCTCCATCCTCTCAGTTACATCATCTGGTGTGCAGGGGGCAGACTCCACAACATCTGAAGAACGTGCTGCGATAGCTGAAGACTGCTTCTTTGCTCCTGCAGCACTTGCACTCGCTGCCCCGGACACAGGTGCGAAAACTGGCATGGCAAGCAATGCCTCCAGGCTTGGAAGCTTGTTTTTTT